GGGGTGGCAAAGACATATTAAATAAGAATTTAATTGACATTTATTTTTGCATTTCCAGCCTTAGCACAATATTGACAATTTCTCAAGACTTGGGTCCCCAGTTTTAGAATAGTTTCCCTTCATCTTGGAAGCAATAGGATGAAGGGATACTTAATTTTAGTTTGCAGTTTATTGCAGTTGTAGTTTGTAGTCTGTAGACAGTAGAAATAAGTCTGCCAAAATTATCTTTGGCAGAGGGAAACAAAATTGTTTGCTTGAAAGGGGCTGGAGCATTTGGACTATGTGTTTAACTTTTCACACTGGCACCAGTCACTTTCATATCCTGAAATATTTTACAGATGAAAACTAGGATATGTGTTATCAAGTAACTTCAGAGTGTGGTCAAGATGGCAACAGTTATCAGTCATCAAGAACACATAAGGAAAGGCTGAAGCAGTTTGCTTTTGCCTGAAGCCTACTGGGAAGGACATGATTTTGCACTTCCTTCTGCTGACTTAATTGAGCTCAAGCTACTTTTGTAGTTTGAAGTCAGTTTGCAGCAACTGAAGTAAACAGGGAAAGTAAGAGGAGGAGAGAGAAACTGGATTGTTTTTAAAGCATCTGAGACAATGGGATGACAGAGGATTAATTAGGACTGTCCCTGCCAAACCAGTACAGTTGCAGGGTCTGCACTTTTTACAATATAAAAAGAACCAATTGCACCACTTTAATGTTGAGCTGTACAGATGTTATCCTTTGTGTATGAAAAAAGTTTTGATAGTTTCAGAGAACCTGTCTACCATTTTGAGTTGATCTGATAGCCTGGACTCCAGATGTACCAAGATAGGTTGACTGGTCTCTGGGAAATCTTCACTAGGTTTGCTTCCCTGTCGTTTCCTGCTGAGCAGATGTAGTATCTCAAATTTGTCTTTCTCCATTCACCTGATACCTTTCACTTTTTCTTGCTTTTCATCACATTCTGCAATGAATTTCTGTTCCTTAACAAATTGCACTGCTGCAACAATCAACATCATAATCCCACCATTGCATTTCTCAACAAAAAGCCAACACACCCAGAAGCTGAATAACATTTCAGTGGACTACACTGTAGAGTTTTTAAAGAACACTCTAATTCCCCACAACAAAAAATGGGTATTGATAACACTGGGTTAAATGAGCTGCTCCAAAAAGGAACACTGTAGAGAATTCAGTCATCTTTCAGATCACTCTTAAGCTCATGCTCACTAGTTGTATGTGTATGTGTCTGTTCACATTAAAATAAATAAATAAACCCACACATGTACACCTGTATTTTCATCAATACTCTGGATCAAAAAAACACTTCTAGGAAGTTTCATACAATGTTGTTGAATGTTGTTTTTTTTAAAGCTCCTCAGTCTTCCCATTGAAAAGTAAGGTAAGTCCATGGCCCACTGATACCATGTCTGCACAGGTCATAATACTCCAGGAGCAGCTCAGAGTACTGTGGCCCTGAAACTGCCCCCAAGTCTCACTGTTACTGGGCACTCTGGAGTGATAGTGGGCAGCTGTTCATACATCTTTCCTGCTGTGCTACCTACCACCACTGCCAACAGCACAAGTCACTCCTTCTGGGGCCAAAAATAAGGGGCCCAGCACCAATCATATGACTGGACACCTCATTCTGACCATATTCTGACTTGAGCCAGCATTGTGTAGCACAGTGGAACCCACTGTAAGCAGTCATCCAATATTGCTATGGAGGGCTCCAGATTTTCTGGGATGATCTGGAGCAAAAGGTGAAGTTTTAAAATCTGTTTTAAGGGTGGTATAACATGGGTTTGGTGCTGAACTGGCCATACATTGTCAGGACAGTTCAGGCCAGAACTGGGGATTGGACCTTGCATCGTTTGGACTTATTGTCATGAGAGCAAGGGCAGGACATGTATTTGGCCTTTGTAGAGATAGCCTTAGAAATTCCTCCCGCTGCAGAAGGTAAGTACATACTATCACCTCTTTTCAGAAAGAAATGTAAATGACATGAAAGCTGGTGGAGGTCAACATGGCTTTAAATTACATCAGTTTTCAAACCAACTGAAAAGTACATTGTTGAGGAAGCCTTTAGAGAGCATGTTGCACCATGCAATTCATCCAAGTGTATGGCCAAATTCATGTCTAAATTTTGGACTGACTTTACACGCCCCAATTTTTATTTTTATTTTTTATGCTAAGAACAGAATAGCATATTCTGATGGAAGTTCAGTGCAATCAAGGCCCATGCTTGCTTCCCCAATAGTGACAGCTTTGTGTAGGAAACCCAAGCAATTTCTGATATATGTTTATTTAATATTTTCATCATTCTAGCATTCTTGTGCTCTAATACTGTGGTGCATTGCTATTAATAAATTTTCTAATGAACGCTCTGTTTTTATAGTCTTAGAACCAGAGAAAAATCTGGATGCAATGCAGTTGGTTGTATTCAATATGCATTTTGATCACAGTGTACAACTTTTTGGTAAAACCAGGAAATAGAAACCCATTATTATCTGATTAATAGGGCAGAGCTGAATGGTAACCTTTTCTTTTTTCATGCCCTTCGTACTAAAGGGTGCTTTATTTAAAATTAGTTCAGCCTCTCTCTTTCAAATATGCTTCACCTTGAAAGGTTAAAGGGTGAAAGGTCCAGTCCTTTTGCAAGGCAACCAGGATTGGATAGTTTGCCAGTATTTCAAATTTGCTTTTGCACACACATTATGAAGGTTTGTGAACACAATAAAAATATGCTTGTAAAGAAAATACAATGCAATCAGTTTACCACTCAGACCTCAAGCCACTTCAGATGTCCAGATGCCATAGTGCATTTACAAACCTTATAAAATAATGGCACAAGCCAGCTAACATTAAACCCAAGTCCCACTGGTAAGAATGGAAGCAATAAGTAAATGTTTATTTCTTTTCCATTGACACAGATAAGACATGTAGCACAATTCAATGCCTGTGCACTTAGACGTAAGTTCTGCTCAATTCAATACAGATGTTTAAAGGACAACAGCCTTGAAGCAGTAGCTCAACCCTTAGTCCTCCAATTGTTTTAGATTTTAGTTTTTTGAAATCCCAGCCAGAATGACCAACAGTCAGAAAGGGCCCCAGCATGTTGTAGTGGTTAAAGTGTTGGACTAGGACTCTAGGAGATCAGGATTTGAATCCCTGCTCAGCTGTGGAAATCCACTGTCTCAGCCTTAAAGGAAGGGAATGGCAAACTTCTTCTAATATATGTTGCCAAGATATCTTGTCAAGAAAACCCCATGATAGGATTGCCATAAGACAGAGTCAACTCAAAGGCACACAACAACAATAAATAACAACATGGCTAATAATCAAGAATTCTGCAAGCTGAAGTCCCAGATAACTGGAGGACTATTTCCTTAAGAATATTACATTTACCTCAGCTATCTGCTAGGGCTACATCCAGTGTTGTGTGAGTGAATTTCTGCTCATGCAATGGGACTTTCCCTTCCCTATTCTTTGTTGTCCCACTCCAAAATCTCCTCTGTGGGCTATCACAAGAGAGCCTATGTGGGGCTTAGTGGGTGCAGGAGGGAGCAGGAATCAGTTTCAACAGAGATGTATTCTATTCCACTGACAGAATAGACACTATAGACACTATTGGATAGGACCCCTCAAGTTTTAGGGCCCTTTCACATTCCACAGTTATAGCTCAATGACTCCAGTTTATCTGCTATGGGTCCATACTTTGGAATCCTGGGGATTTCAGTTTTGTTGTTATTGTGTGCCTTCAAGTCATTTCCAACTTATGACAACTTTCAGGTGCACCTATTCAGAGGAAGTTTGCCATTGCCATTGCCATTGCCATTGCCTTTGCCAGAGACCATGCGACTTGCCCAAGATCACCCAGTGGGTTTAATGGCTTAGAGGGGAATCAAACTCTGGTCTCCAGAGTCAGAGTCCAACACTAAAACCACTACACTATGCTGGCTTATTTTGTAGTTTAGGGAGGGGAATTTTGAATTCTCTGCCAAGTAGTTCTTGTCTCTCCCCATGCTATGAACCATGGATTCCATAGGATGTAACTAGGACAATTAAATGGAAATCATTGAGCTATAACTGTGAAATTGTCTATAGCCTATACTACCCTATAGCAAGAATGACTTGCAAACTCTTTAATTATATAATAGTTTAATTTAGTTTTAAGGGGTGGGAGGGTTGGGGTGGGGGTGGAGGGCATGGGAAGTTGGAATGTTTTAATTGTTGTATTTTTTAACTTGCTGTAAGCCACCCTGATTGCCGAGCAGAGGGGCGGGTTATAAATAAAAAAATATTATTATTATTATTATTATTATTATTATTATTATTATTATTATTAGCTCGAACTGTAGTAACATGCTAACTATATATGTCCTTGTAATCCTATTAACAGGAAAAACACAGGAAGTTCTATAAAGCTCTTTATCAATTAAAAGTAATAATACATGTTCTGCAAAGATGTACCATAATGAAGCAAAGTAAAAGGCATGTTGCTGAAATGGATCTAAGTAAAGGTCTGTATTGGGCTGAAGAATTCTAAGAAACTCAGCTTTAATCTCAAGATAAATAAATTTCCAGCCCTTGAGACAACAAAACTGTTATTTTCCTTCTGATGAATTCCAAAACCAAAAATAACTATGCAAAATAATAAATGAGAAAACAAGCAAATGCATGTAATGGGCAAGACAATCTTATACTCTCACTTTTCCAGCATCTGGGATATAGAATCAGCATGGCAGCAGGACACAAGAGGCATGCTCAGCCAAAGAAAAGAAGAGGGAAGCACATAATCTGAAAGTACAAAAAGTGGAAAAATATAGAACAATCCTGGAAACAGCAACATAGCTGAATGATCCAGATTAGTTACAATTCTCAAATTTCACCCATGGACATGATTAAAAATTGGTCTTTCATAGTCTATGAGTATTGATATACAACTACTACTAGAATTTTGCACTATTTTGGATATAAAAAATGTGTTGATATATCAAAAAGAAGCCAGTGTGGCATAGTGGTTTGAGTGCTGGACTATGACCCTGGAGAGCAGTGTTCAATTCTCAGCTTGGCCATGAAGCCCACTGGATGACCTTGGGCAGTTCACATGCTCTCAGCTTCAGGGGAAGGCAATGGAAAATCCTCTCTGAACAAATTTTGCCAAGAAAACCCATGATAAGGTCACCATAAGTTGGAAACAACATGAAGATACACAACAACACAACATATAAAAAGGTCAATGGTTATGGTCCAATTGAACCAACAAACAAATTTTATATGCTGACATCAGATCTGAAACAGGTTCCTTAAATCAGATATCAATAACTCCTTCAGAATAATTAAAAATATCTAAGCTATTAAGTTAGCTGGGAATACCAAAGGATAATCAACAAGAGATCCAGGCTCTCCAAAAGTAACATAGCTCAACCTCCAGGGGTCATTCTGGTATAAAAGAGTTTCTGAACCTCTGCAAGTAAATATTGACTGAGCAGCATCTCTTTTCATGCCTTTCTTCCATTCTGCATGCTTTGGAGGTTGCTATAAACATGTACATGCCCACATAAACATCTGAAAGGAAATGCGTCTGACAGAGTGCTTTCAGATTTTACTTTCGATGATTCCAGGTCTGCATTTTCCCACTCAAATTTCATCACAGATCTAGCAGTGGGATAAATAAACAAAGTGGAGTATGCTCTGATTTACTCATCCCACTGTTTAATAAAGACACCTCATTGTTTTCCTTGGGCTACGATAACGGGATTTGAATTACATGCTCTATAAAATTTCCCCTTTGTGTGACCCTTTGCTCTTTCTTGAGCTCCATTTATGTTAAACTTCATTCCTTCCTTCCATTTATCTTGCTGACTGAGCTATTATTTTTATTCCTGAATACCATTTCCACTGGCTCTTCCATTATGCTGAAGACCATCATCCCAAAAACTACAAATCTCTTTAAACTACCTATTTAGAAATATACTTTCTGCCATTTGCTTTCAGCAGTTGCAGTGGTTAATATCTGTATATAACATGGGAGGAAAGCTATAGGATATACTGAGTCTGAACACCTCTTTTGGCAGGTATGGAAAATCTTGGGTCTTGGCCTCATATCATTTGTATGTTAACACAGTTTCCCTGCTCTATAGCTCTGTATGCATAGTGTGACTTTTGCATTCACATCTTTGGAGTAGGGGCTAACTCTGCCTGTGTATCCCCTTCCATCCGTAGGTGGCTGCCTTCCCCATTGGAGAGCATGGAAAAATGAGGAAGACTCATTGGCAATGGAGCTCAGTGTGTGCCCTTCAAAGCACACTATGAGGTTTATCACACAGGTCCAACTGGAAGTTTAAATGGTAATTATCCTGGTAAAATTGCAAATTTGCAATTAAGGTTCTCACACGATGTCACAATTAAAGCACCATTATCCTGGGAATATCCTGTGAAAATCATGCAATTGTGATAAATATTTTGACATGACATTATCCTGGAAATAACAAGCAATAAACAGCAACAAAACATTCACGGGGAAATCCCATGAATTCTGTTTATTCTGTTTATTCTGGATACTGAATCCCATGTTTCTGTTTATTGCCAGGTTATTCCTGGGATAATGACTCTTTAATCGTGCTATGTGTGAAAAACAAATCTCAATCTTAATTGTGAATGTGCAGTTTTCACGGGATAATCACCATTTAAACTCCCAATTTCCCCCTGTGTGATAAACACCCTAGAGTCTTGTGTTATGAGAGAGTTTTCCACTTCTTTACATGCAAAGGAAAATCTTCCTTATCTGCCTAAACAGCCACAAACATTGTTACTTTTTTGCAAAAATAGTTACTGTTTCAAGTGAAGGCTTAGCTGTTTCCAATAGATGATAGTGAAATGGAATTTTAGTATCAGGATTTCTTGCCATGCAGCACATGATTTCTTTCAGTTTTAGGCACATCACAATGTGAATAAATTTGTAGCAGGAGACTGCTTAAGGGCAAGATGGACTAGCTGACCTTCAGATTCCTTTCAGCCCAATAATTCTATGTTTTTGTAAATAGACAATTCTCATGTAGCTTATGAATGCCCAGGCCTTTTGAGATGTTCAGCAAACAGATTTTCTATTAAAAATGCCCTAAGTACATAAACAAACTGTTTATTAACTGGCTGCCATGTGTTGCAAAATCTCTAGTTTTTAATCAATCATGAAACAGATGTTTGTGAATATTCAAAAAAAAGACAGAAAAGAGAGCACATTAACATTCCTAGATTTGAATTTCTGGGATGGTCTCTATGGATGAATTAACTATGCATTAAAGAATTGCCCCAAACTGGTGAATTGTCATGGCCTCATAGAGATTAGTATTTCTTTGGTACCTCAGCTTGACAGGGAGCTACTTTATTCCTATGCCACACAAAGAGACAGACAAGTAAATCAAGAAGTCCATTGCAGTGCCAAAATTCTAACACATTAATGTGTGGAAACAGATATGTGTCTTAGGATTCCTACCAACAATATAGAAGATACTGGGATGAATCTCTGAAATCATAGGGAGCTCGTTTGTTTTCTGTGGAGTATCCAGAGTGTTACTTCCGGCTTATGTGCTACAGTGACTTTGGGGAGACTGGTGCTACTACTTTAGTAAGAGGCCAATGATAGAGCAGCAAGTGCAGGGGAGAAGAGGCTGGACATCCTTATCTTGCTTTATATTCTGGATTTGTATTCAGTTGGTGATGGGTAAAAACAGGGGTAGGCAACCTTTCCCCTTTAAGGGCCGGGGGATTTCAGCTCCCAGAATCCCAGGAGCTATTGGCCAACATGGGACTATTGACCAACATGGCTGAGGCTTCTGGGAGCTGAAGTCCCTCGGCCCTTAAAGGGGAAAGGTTGCCTACCCCTGGATAAAAATATGAATCCTTTTGAGAGCTTGGACTCATGTCTGCAGGAATTAGAAGCAATAAGTTCTCTAAAGTCCATATCCATTAAAAAGCTGGATAGAGGAGTCAGCACAGAGATCCAATGCACAACAGAGCCGATGCATATTGGGGCCAATGTACATTGGTCCTGTTGTGCATTGGTTAACATTGTGCATTGGGACACCAGCTAGGGAGTACTAATGCACACTGGGGCACTCTTGTAGGTATCCGATTACATATCTTTGCAATTCACTAACAGGGTTTCTTAGTGCCTCTGCTGCAAAGCTATGTATATGTCAAATTACATAACATACACCATGAAAAGGATACTGGCCATGATTTATGTCCCATTTCCAAGTATTCCTATGCTTTTTAATGCAATAATCATGACAGGATGGTTTTGTATGGAGGGTTATTTTAGTTATGTTTTAATATTTTGTACGTCTTTAATACTAATTTTATGTAGTTTTTAATTTGATGATTTTAACTGTTTTTAAATTTTTACTGTAATTTTTTTTTTAAAAAAATTGTCTGGTGAGCTGCCTTGGGTCTCTTTTCTGGGAGGCATAAAAATGAAATAAATAAATAAATGTCATGATAAAGAAAGTGTGGCCCTCCAGAATCTACTGTTCCTCCCAACTGGCTTCTTAATGGCTGCTTCCAGGCTGTGGAATTTCCTTCCACAGATGGCTAGGCTGGCCTCCTCTTCACTCTTTTTTTGCCATTAGGCAAAGACCTTTATGCAAACAAGCACTTAATAATTCATGGGATTCACAAAGTCTTTTTAACAGAGTGTTTGTGCTGCATTTGAAACATTATTGTGCAGTTCTAAAAATGATTTTACACTTTTAAAAATTAACTTGTGTTCTCCCCAACCTACTTTACCAGGCATCAACTGCATGTGGAGAAGGAGGTCCATTCTGCTGGTGAGCAGAACATTAATGAATGAATGACATTTTTGTCAGATTAGGAGGTGTGTGTCATGCCTAGAAAGTTTGTTAACTGCCTTCACATCTATCTCAACCCATGGTGACCCTGTGGATGAGACATCTCAAATCCCTCCTGTGCTCTACGGCACTGTCCAGCTCCTGTAAACTCATATTTGTCCATGGAATCCTCAGCACTCTTCTCCAGCACCACATTCTCTCAAATGCATTGATTTTCCTCCTATCTTCTTTCTTGATTGTCCAGCTCTCACATCCATACATGGTAATAGGGAATACGATGGCTTGTATGATTCTGACTTTTGTGCCGAATTGTATGTCTTAGCATTTTAAGATCTTTTCTAGTTCTTTCATAGCTGCCCTCCCCATTCTTAATCTTCTCCTGATGTCCTGGCTGCAGTCCTCATTCCAATCAATGTTTGATCCCAGATATAAGAACTTATTTACCATTTCTATTTCCTCATTTTCTAGTTTGAATATGTGTAAGTTCCCTGTGGTCATTATTTTTGTTTTCTTTATGTTCCCTGCCTTTGCACTTTCCTCTTTGATCTTCCTTAGTAGTTGTTCCAGGTCTGTGAGGTTTTCTGCTAGTATTATAGTGTCTTCAGCATATCTCAGATTGTTGATATTTCTTCCTCCTATTTTCACTCCTCCCTCTTCCATGTCCAAGCCTGCTTTCCTTACAATATGTTCTGCATATAAGTTGAATAGATAGGGTGATAGGATGCAGCCTTGTCTGACTCATTTACAGATTAGGAACCATTCTGTTTCTCTGTGTTCTGTTCTGACAGTAGCCTCATTAG